CCATGACAGGTTTTTTGTTTACAAAAGAAATGTGTAAACAAGATACCCATAAGGTATTTCTGAACTTTCTAGACTTTTCTTTAAAACTTTTTTAAACCATTCCTATGATCTTAATAAACCAGAAAATACCGTTAAGGCGCGGAATTCATTGCAAATCGAGAAAATATACGGAACTACTTTCTCAATACGCGGAGCATAAACATCCTTGTTGGAGCATAAACCGCTCCTGCGGAGGGATACGGACCGGTGACTACTTTCTTGGGAACCTATATGTGTTGCCAGCTGATTAGAAACAGCCAATGTTAGAAATCAGAATTTAATAAGCGATATATCGAACCGTATCGAAATCGATATTTAATCCGATAATACCGAATACCTCACAGGTTATTATGTTGAATTACATCGACGGTGCAGTAAGTTATTACACTTTTATATAGACAATCTTTTATCTTTTGGAATAGTTTGTTTAACGGGGAAACGATTTCAAAAATGCTTGCATATGGTCTTAACAAACCATCTACAGTGTTCTAGCATTGACTTTATATAAAGTCAATGATTCTAGCAAATCTATATAATTAATACGCTACATGAAACTTTGTCGGTTGAACTCCTCCGCCATTTCTTAACCGATTTTATCCATTGACGTCTCATTGGAAAGAGCGCGTCGCGTAGATTTGCAAACTGGCCTTACATTTTTTGAAAAATTCCCTTGGGCTCTGCCCCAGTGGCTTTGAAAGTTCCCATGTTATCCTTATGAAGAACATAATTGTTTACATTTTGATCAGCTGTATAATTTAATTGCTGTTATTTATTTTTCAATTCAATGAAACCCATTGAGTACATTTATTTACTATTTGAGTTTGTGTAAACATAACCCCCAAGACGGATCGTGTTAGTATGGTTGTATCTTAAATTTGTGTATTTATCGTTGTTTTGTGTCGCTATGACGGGTCGTGTTAGCATGATTGTAACTGAAATTTGTGCATTTAACGTTGTTTTGTGTAGCTATAATTTGTTTATTTGTTGTTTTTTTTTTAAATGCCTCCGACGTGACGACAACGAAACATAGACAGGAGACGTAATCGTGATAACGACCGCAGCTACAGAGTACTGGCACGTAATAGGCTTAACTCATCACAGTCAGCACCTGGACAATCTCAACTATTAGGTTACAAATGCATCCTAACACTACCCCAAAACGACTTTTCGTTCTCAATTGGCCCTTTATCAATGACCTGTGTTGCCTGTACAGCGAGGCATTTTGAGATGGAGAAAACGGGCGGAATGCTTTAGGTTTATCAATAACGAAGATGAACATGGTCTGAGTTATACACCAGTAATCTTTGAGTTGACTCTTTTAAACTCTTTGTAAATACTGTTATTCGTTTTGAGATAACTCCTGTAATATTTTGAAATTGCTCGAATTCGAGCAACATGTACACTAGTTACTACATAAAACCAAATGAAAAGAACATTTGGATTTGGACCTTTTGACCATAGCAAAACTTACATATAATTTATGAAATGTGAAAAGTTGTATATCATTAAATACTATTCTGTAATATTAATAATTGTTCGACAAATCCTCATTTTAATGGCTCGGCTGAAAATGGAATCTGCATTTTGTGAAACTGTAATTTGGTAACAATTCAGTAATTTCAAATGTTGATAACAGTAGCCTATCCTATATAAATACTGTTATTTGATTGCCAAGCCACGAACTATACATACGTCCAGTTACAACCGTAATAACTAAACCTGGGCTAATAGAAGTACACTTTTAACCACGGTATGGATAATTGTCTAGGCCTGTCCAGAAGTAGGATACTAATTTCTGATTATATTATCTACATTGTTAATTTTTTTGTCCTAAGGACGCTAGGCACGCCTGGGATTGTTTTTCACATTACTTTACATCAAATCCATTGGTGACTTGGCGGGGATCGAACCCGGGACCTCAGGGACTGAAGTCCTTCCCTACTTATTATTATTCTGTTTTCACTTAAATCAGCTGAATGCGATGTTTACTTATGTTCAGGCCTACATTTCAGCCATCATATTTTATTGTTCAATGAGTAAGTCTTTTTGCAGTTTTTTACGTTTTTACACATTGAAATACATGACTGATAATTTAGTTCATTTTAGTCTTTTAAAGGTGATTTACATTTGAGTCTTACATTAAAATAGCCCTACATTTTTCGTAGGCCTATGTTTTATCTTTGACTATTAATACAACTAGACATTCCATCCCCCTGTTAAATTTGTAGCCAGCTTTTTCATCAAAATCTTCTGTATTCAATGGCCAATGGTATTATTAAGGCCATTATTAAAATGCCATCGCTAAATCGTCCTAATAATGGTAGAAGACCTACATTACAGTTACATTACAATCATATCCTCCATCAAGAATACTTGGTATTAACAATCATAAATTATTTCCAGCAAAGAAAGCTGAGTTTAACCGATTGCAAGGGTTGAAATGAAGACCAATGTTTATGTTGCACAGTTGAATTTAAATGTCAAATTTCCTCACCTGTTGTTATACAATACTCGTTTTTTAATAGTTAATGTTTTTTTATACTTAAATACTTTAACCGATTGTAAGGGTGAAAAATGAAGTCCAATGTTTTTGTTGTAGGCTACAGTTGAATTTGAATGTTAAATTTCCTTTGTCTTTTTTATGATTTAATGCCCTTTTTGGATGTTAATATCAGATTCCAACTACTGTAATATTTTCCTGGTCAAAACTACCATAATGCACTTCTGGAAGAGGTAAATTTAAATTATTATAGTTTTAATCAATAAAACCAGCATTAGTAAATAAATCTATTGACTTTTTTACATTTAGTTACTTATACAAATATCAAATCACGTTTGTTCCGCTGTTTGTTCAACTGGCTTTCACCTCTCTGAAAGCAACCCTAGTTCATTGAATGATCAACCATATTTGGTAACTAACGCAATCAATATAATTTATTGTTTTTACACTTATTAATCTTAAACAATGCTAAATGTTCAAAATATGTATAATTTCACTCAATTTATCGCAGTTAGATAAATTAGCGTAAGCCTTGAAAGTAACCGTCGATTTTTGACGGGTTTCACCTAGTAATAATTCAATTGCAGTCACATTATTCGCGTCATACACAATCGCGGCAACATCCACGATAATCTCCTGCAATTATCTCAGCATCCATGACTATAGGCCAATTTGTGATTGCGGCCATATCTTTGATCATATCATAATCACGGCGAGATTCGTCATAATTTTCCGTATCGCGGCATCAGCCGAGATGATTTCTGGCGATTGCGGTGACGTCCTGTATTCGTGATCGTTTGCTGCGGTCACGATTTTCCACTTCGCAAAACGAGAGAGGCTATTCGGTAAGCTTCTATAAAAACCATAGTCCGAGGGGTTCCCCTACGGGTTTAGTAGTTCAGTGCTTGGGTTTAGTGTATTTCATTAAAGTGTAATAAAATCACCACAACTTAAGCTATATATCGTTTGGGGTTGTTTTTGTTAAATATATGTAAATACAATCTTGTCAATTTATTTGTAACTATTTATTTTCCACTAAGGCTACTTAAATGAGAGATTTTCAATTACATGAAACATAAGTAGGAGCTGCAAAAAAGGTATTACAGTATATTAAAAACTATTTGTATTTGGTCACCTAAAAATATATTGCCTGTTAGGCAGACACAGTTACAGTATTTACTGCTTTACTGTTTTTTTCGATTAAAAGGTACTCACTATCAAAATGTTATATACTAACACCATTGAATATACTATATAACACTACTACAGTATATTCAATATTGTATACAACACTATATTGGATATAAAACGCTAAATAGTGTTATATATTCAATGCTAATTCGTAATGATTGTCATTCTCTCATATCGCAAGAGTAAGTGAACCCTCTTCATTTATTTTATATTTTCGATGTAGTGCAAGTGAACCTTCTATTGTAGGCCCTAATATAATATTTATAATATTATCATAGATAAAACATACTCCCTTGTGTTGGTTAGTCTATGATATTATTTACAAAGCTCGTATAGACTAGAATCTCAATCTGTATAGTCAGTGAGCTGTCCCCGTTTGTGTGTGCGGTCGCCGTGATCGTGATTGTTATTATTATGTTATTTATTAGCGAATTTCCCATATAGGGAATAAGCTATTACCGTAGTACTCATGGTAAGACCTGGACCCGGGACCGATTTTTTTTTTTCGTTTTGAGGTCCCTAGAGGCCAAAAACACCATCCGTTCAAATTCATATATATATATATATATATATATATATATCTATATATATATATATCTCTATATATATATATATATATATATATTTATATATGTGTCCGTTAGCACGATAACTCGAGCAAAAACGATCCGATTTTGATGAAATTTGGTACAAACGTGTAAACCTACGTTTATTCGAACGAGTTCGCGAACCAGCATGATCGGACCATGGGAACGGGGGTTTTTGGGGGGTTTTATGGGGTAAAAATGGGTTTTTCCTACTTTTGACTCAAAAAACATAAAATTTTGCAATTTCTTTCCAAACTATTTTCAGAGCTTAAAAAAACAAATAATTTAGTATATAAAGCGTTATAATGCACCTAATGGTTACGGAGAAAATTTCAAAAAATTTTAAATTTAAAATTCCCATGTTATTCTTATGGAGAATAAGTAAACTGTTGTAGTTTGCTTGTTTATTAACATTCTTTGCCCAAATTTAGAAAATGTTTTTATTTCTTACTAACTATTAACATTTTACATAAAAAACACTTTTACCCTCCCTGTTGCAGCAAACCTAAGTATGTGTTAAACTGATTCTATTTAAATAGGGAATAAATGTGATATTTTTAAGGAGACATTTTAGTGTAAATCCAATCAGGCAAATGGAAATTCGCTTAGTCTGCAGGTTTGCTGCGGCGGGGGTATTTTATTTAGCCCTCGTCCTGTTCCTGTGTTGTGTTAGTAGGCTATCCTATTCCTAGTTGATGTATACCTATTTGTAATTTGTATTAGGCGTAAAATGGGAAATAAATGAGTGGGTAAATGGAGTCCTACCTAATTTCAATTTCCTAATAGTAACATAGTGATAATTATTAGTGCAGACCTAGTATCGTCAAACATAAAAAGAAAAAATGCTATGCTTTAGGTAAGCCCAGGACTATATGTCTAGGTAGGCTAGGTTATATAATGTTTATTTAATTAGAGAACTCGGTTATGAATTTATTAATATCTGATAAAACACTACTTTTTAGATAGGCCTGACTTCTATAAATTGTTTGGGTACACTTCCATATCTGTTGGTACAAACAACCGAATGAGTAATGTTGATTATTCGATTGTTTAGTTTGATAGCCTATATCGTTTGGTTAGTTAGGCTAGTTTAACCTTACCTAACTAACCAAAAGATATAGCCTAGGCTATCGAATAATCAATATTGATTGATATTTTCATTCGGTTTTTTGTGCCAACAGATATGGAAGTGTACCCAATTGTTTCAGATTAGGTAGTTTCCAAGTTAATATTTGTATGTTTCCTAAGACTGTGGCTGCACTGGCCGTAGATTGTCACGCTGAAAATTGTATAGCGCGTTACACGCTACATTTGGTGGCTCCACTAGCAGCCGAGTATGAACAACAATCTGCAGTAGGGATGTTGCGATACCACTGTCATTCCGATATTTGGTATCGATACCGTATCGCAAAAAAGTATCGATACCGGCTCAGTATTGGAACTAAAGTATTGATACCGTCAGTATTGTATCCATTCAATACCAGTGACGTCATATCCTGATTCACTGATGTTCATTTTAGCGAATTTCCCATATAGGCTAGGGAATAAGCTATTACCGTAGTACTCATGGTAAGACCTGGACCCGGGACCGATTTACACCTTTTTACCCTCCCTGTTGTAGCAAACCTAAGTAGGCCTGGGCCATTCTTCAGAAAAGGACAGATTACGGTCACCAAGGAATAATAAATAAAAATTAAGATAATAAATACATAATTTGTTGTTAAATATGTAGGTAAACGTTTTTTTTTCATACTTAATGTAAAGAAGAAAACAATCTAAATTAAATTTAATGAACATTTTATGTCCACAGAAGGTGACATATATCACTTCTGTGGACAGTCACCCCTCTAGGTTCAGCTTAAGATTAGCTGATTTTACTAACAAATTTGAAATAAGAATTATTAAACCCAATTGCTGTTGGCTATCTAGACATTGAATATTAATAATTTTTTGTTTATTTTACTTTTTCTATTCTATTAAAGGTAAAAAAAACAATGAAACTCGGTCACCAAAGCCTGCATCACTCCTGTGGACAGGCATTTATGTAGTTCCAAAAAATCCACCAGGTAGCACTGACCAACTTTCACTATTTTTTTACAGAGAAGAAGTAACCATCTTGAACATAGAATCAGTTTGGTTGTGTTCTGTTCAGTTATTAGTTGTTTATATCATGTGAAACTAGAGTTTTAATTGATCGTCGAGCTAATATAGTCACTTCTGTTACCACATTTTAAAGGTAATTATACATGTCAATTAAACCTAATACTCTAATTTACAGTAGTTTATGTCTTTCTCTAAAAAAATAAGAGCAAACATTGTTCCTAACCTATTTGCTAGACTCTATGTTAGGCATAAAATGCTAAATCATCACTTCTGTGGACATCACTTCTGTGGACACTAGCAGTTACCCGGCGCGCGTTGCTGCGCTTAACAACTATTATTTTAAATGAAAATTAAACCTAATACGCTAATTTACAGTAGTTTATGTGATTCTCTAGAGCAAACATTGTTCCTAACCTATTTGCTAGACTCTATAGGCATAAAATGCTAAATCATCACTTCTGTGGACATCACTTCTGTGGACACCTAGCAGTTAACCGGCGCGCGTTGCTACGCTTAACAACTATTATTTTAAATGGCAATTAAACCTAATACACTAATTTACAGTTTTTTTTTTTTTTTTTTAAGGGAGAGGAGGTAAAAATGCTTTTACGCACACAGGTAGCCAGCCTGTAGTGTGAGACTCCTGAGCTTGTCAGACTACTCACTAAAAAACCCCCTCTACTCTGTTGGACACAGACCTGGGATTGTTTGTCACATTACTTCAGGTCAGGTCAACGTGTGACCTAAGCCCTCAGGGCTCGCGCCGTTTCTGGCATTCAATTTCTTTATGACCTAGACTGCATCTCGGTCAAGCTCTAGCTTCTTTGTGCGGAGAATATCCTGGACGAAATGTGACATACAGGTCCAATTGTCCTCACCCTCCGTCATCATCGGAATTACCGTGTCCACCAACAACTGTCCTACATGTTGTTCAGCCTCCAGGCGGGAACCTTCCCAACGCTGGCAGCGGAAAAAGGTGTGCTCCGTAGCTTATGTGTTTCTCTACAAAAATAAGAGCAAACATTGTTCCTAACCTATTTGCTAGAATCTATGTTTATTTTAAACTTTATTTGTAAAATTTGCAATTGCGATAGTCACTTCTGTGGACATGCTAGTTTTTAAATACTAAAAATCTGGTAAAGTGATTTTTATTTAGTCGACCATTGCAATGGGTAAATATTAAAAAAAAACATAGGTACATTAAAATATCTAAAAAAAAATTAAAAATAAAAAATTTAAATATAAAATTGAAATCTGTCCTTTTCTGAAGAATGGCCCGCCTACTCGTTAAACTAATGTTAACTTATTTAAATAGGGAATAAATGTGATATTTTTAAGGAGACATTTTTTATTTAGTGTAAATCCAATCAGGCAAATGGAAATTTGCTTAGTCTGCAGGTTTGCTGCGGCGGGGGTATTATTTTATTTAAGTTATTTATTTCCCAAAGGATTAGGGGTCTAAACCATTTTACAATGTTTATGTACACAATATTTAATCAATTAAAGTCCACTTGCTCCAGTACAGTACAGCCTATAGGATTCAAATTTGAGCTGCTGTTAAGAATACCTACCTAATTATGTAAAAAAATTATAAAATTAACCAAACATAGCCAACCTTTGTTCTCAATGTTACCTTCAAGTAAAAAGTACCTGTTGTTCTAAGCCTTTATAAGTTATCTTTTAAAAGACAATTTTATTACATTACCAACGCATCCTACAAACACTTGTGTTTACCATCAGCCTAAATTAAGAAAAAAGATTTAATTAAATAATTTTAAGAGCCATCTTTTTAGTTTAACTTATTTGATGTTTAACAGTCCATGGTTTCATTTTATTTGCCTAACACAACGTTGAACATTGACTTGTACCTAAGTAATAAAAATAACTCTGTCCTCAACCAAACCCTTAATTTTTACCATTGACTAACTTATATAAAATAAGTTGATTAACAAAATAAGTTGATCAAACAACTTTGTTTGATTGCTGCCTTCCCATTTTTTCAACGTACCAGCTACAATTTGCAGCGTGACAATCTACGACTAGTGGTCCCGCAGCATAACCGCCATAGCACAGTGTAGGCTTAAGCCGTGTTAACGCTGGATTACAACCAACGTTCCTAAAAAACCAAGAAACGCTACTTTGTTAAAAGAATCATTTTGATGCTGGAAACAGTCTTTAAGTGTTTACAACAGAAATTTTATTTCCGACCAGAAGTCGGTAAAGATCAAAGGGTGTTCAAAACATGAGGAAATTTTTGTTTTGGAAGAAACGTTTCTGTACTTCTACGCTGTTTACAACACTTCCCTGCTACCCTACGCGCCTACCCACCACCACATGAGTAACTAACGCGCCGTGCCCTCGGCACCAGTCCGTCTCCTGCATTGATTAAATTGTTTCCAACAAAATCAATGAAAAGTGCACTATCTGTTGTAACCTTGTTTTAGAAACAAGTGTTACCAACAAAAACATTGTTCCAAACTCCATTCCAGACGCGGCTTAAAACAGTCTTCTTGAAAAGACCTTAAATAGGACTAGGTTAGGGGGCCTAGTTTAATTTAATTCAGTTTAGCCTAATTATTTAATAAACATGGCAGGCTAACTTAGTATTAAAAACAAAAGTTGATATGATATGTGTAGACCTAGGTACCTACCTTACTCTTTTTTAGAGACTAAGTTACAAAGACTTCAATGTTTTCATGAGTTTAAAAAGGTAGGCCTAAGTAAAATTTTGTAAAATGGTACGGTAATTTATTTTTCCTACAGTCACCCGACAAAGTTGGCTTCCTTGTACTGTTTATAGTACAGAAAAAAAAAGTTGTTGCTAATTGCTGCATATTTATACTTTGCCGTACGGTTTATACTTTGCCGTACGGTTTATACTTTGCCGTACGGTTTATACTTTGCCGCACATCAGGATTCCAACGAAACAACACAAAACAGCGTGGTTCTATTATGCACGTAATCCGTGTATGCTCGGAAATAGGTTGGCAACACTTAAAGATAATAATACTATGAGCAGCTGATTGACTATTATAACTACGATTTAACCTGTCATTTCGTGTTTATAGTTTCGGTATTTCTGAACTTCCTGGACTTTTCTTTTAAACGTTTTTAAAACATTCCTACGATCTTAATAAACAAAAAAATATATTTAAAGCATTTTTTTAGGCGCGGAAACCACTTTAAATTACAAAAACATACGGAACTATATTCTCAAAACGCGGAGCACATTTCTTGCCGAGGAAAAATAGCGGAGTGATACGGACCGCGGGTACTACTTTCTCTAAGGGCACCATTTGTGTTGCCAGCTGAATCTAAAAACGTGTTGTAGAAAGACTAATTGTTTATATGATTTATAGTGACTGTAGGAAAAATATAATGTGTAACACGAGTGAAAAAGGCCTTTGCTGCACTCGAGATCATTCCGCACTCGCCTGCGGCACGTGCGTAAACATTGCTCTCGTGTGCAGCAAAGTGCCACTTTCACCACTAGTTACACAAATAACTATTTACCATCCCAGATAGATGGACTATTCATTAAAATATGAAAAAAAAATGGGGAAAAAGTGGGTAGATTGTGCATACCAAAGTTCGGGGACGTTTTTTTTCGCAAAAAAGTCGGTTCATGTTTAAATACTTTTTATGATAACAAAGAATATATATATTTTTGAGTGAGTGTGAAAATAAGATTACAGTACCTTATGTTATAAGGAAGATTTTAATGTATAAGTTACCATGGTTACTACTAAAACT